CTTCCCTTCCCTCTGAGGTTTGAAGGTCTGTTTGATGTTTCTCTGTCTCTGGATCTATTTTTGTTCATCAGTTTATGTTGTTCATTATTTCCACAAATGAGTGAGATCATGTGATACTTATCCTTCTCCAACTGGCTTATTTCACTTAGCATAATGCTCTCCAGGTCCACCCATGCTGTTGCGAATGGTAAGAGTTCTTTCTTTTTACAGCAGCATAGTATTCCATTGTGTAGATGTACCACAGTTTTCTAATCCACTCATCTGCTGATGGGCACTTAGGCTGTTTCCAGATCTTAGCTATTGTAAATTGTGCTGCTATGAACATAGGGGTGCATATATCCTTTCTGATTGGTGTTTCTGATTTCTTGGGATATATTTCTAGAAGTGGGATCACTGGTTCAAATGGCAGATCCATATTTAATTTTTTGAGGAAACTCCATACTGTTCTCCACAGTGGCTGCACCAGTCTGCATTCCCACCAGCAGTGCACTAGGGTTCCCTTTTTTCCACATCCTCTCCAGCACTTGTCATTTGTTGCTTTGTTGATGACAGCCATCCTGACAGGTGTGAGATGATACCTTTTACTGTTGTTTTGATTTGCATCTCTCGGATGATTAGTGACTTTGAGCATTTTTCCAATCCACTTTTGAATAATTCTTCCAGGAAGTAAAAATGGACACACTACCGACTATTCAGTACTGAATGGTCATAAGGGGTGGGCAGTGAGGCATCAGCCAGCCAGTGAGCACCGGGGACATATGGGCCACCCTGCTGGGGACCTCCCAGAGCTAGGTTAGACCCCGCACCTCCAAGCTGTCCCAGCCACGGGCAAGGGGGGAGGGCTGCTCCCAGGGTCACCATCAGCCGGTCAGCCAGCCACACTCAAGAACAGAGGGTAGCACCTGGCGGGGCTCCAGCCACACTTGCAACATTGCCGGATTTTGTTCATGGGGATAGTTAACTTCAAAACGCTGACTCTGGCCAGCTCAGGTGCACATTCCACGTGACAATGATCATGGACTCAAGACCCACAGGCCTCCCTGGAGGGACTGAACTCCGGCCACAGCCCCCCCCAGCCACAGCCCCACACAGCCATGGCCCCACCAAGCC